TAAGCGTCGTAGTTCTGAAACGGCTCAAAAAGTTCTAAAGCGTCGCAGTTCTGAAACGACACAAAAAGTTCTGAAACGGCTCAAAAAGTTCTAAAGCGTCGCAGCTCTGAAACGTCTCAAAAAGTTCTGAAACGTCTCAAAAAGTTCTGAAACGTCTCAAAAAGGTCTAAAGCGTCGCAGTTCTGAAACGTCACAAAATGTTCTGAAACGTCACAAAAAGTTCTTAAACGTCTCAAAAAGTTCTAAAGCGTCGCAGTTCTGAAACGTCACAAAATGTTCTGAAACGTCACAAAAAGTTCTGAAACGGCTCAAAAAGGTCTAAAGCGTCGCAGTTCTGAAACGTCACAAAAAGTTCTGAAACGGCGTAGTTCTAAAAAAGCCGCTTTTTAGGGTCAAAATTGCTCATTTTCAGCGTAAAATGACTCATTTTGAACCGTTTTCAGCCAAATTACCTCAAAAATGAAGGGAATCGAGAAGAATTGCCGAATATCCGGTGGTCCACGGGGTTCTTCAAATGGCTGTATCTCGGCGCCTAATATAGCTAGAAACGTAATTTTCGTGCCAAAATAAAGCTGGAATCAAAGGTAATTGGCAATATACATTTTTCTAAAGTTCCAGCTTCCGCCGTCAAGACTATATGAATCGCAAGAACGCCTACTCGATCATCAAATGGCTGGATCATGTGGCATCGCGGCAGAGCGAGACGAGCAGTGTCATCAAGCAGCGGATACGATTCGAATTCCAGCATGCCAGCCTTCCGGCACTATTTGAAATACGAAACAGGCTGGAGGTGTCGTTGGGTACACTTCTGGAGTCGGAAATCAGGGAAAGAGTGTATTTGTGTGGACTGAAGATGCCTGGAGCTATGCAGCACGACTCGACGAATGAGAGTGAGTTTTTGGGAGGGGGGGGGGCAGGGTGGAGTCTTCCGAAATGACCCAAATTGGATTTCCAGGCGTCACTGTCTCCAGCCTCTCCATATTCGGCGCCACGCCCCATGAGGGACGCTTCGAGGTCCTGACCACTGATCCGTTTCATGCGATGACCGAAGACACGGGTGTGGATGAGTCCCAAAATCAAGAAGAGTACATTCTGGTCTCGTGCATTCGGAATGTGTTTGATGGGTTTGGAGAGAATGATATTCGAACGAAGAGTCAGGTGGATTCGATGCGACACCTGTTTAGGAATCATTTGCGTGAGTTTTGGGGCCGAACATGCCCGAAAAAGTCTACGAGACTCGACGAGACTCAAGGAAAGCTAGACAAGGCTTACCGAGACTTAAAAAATTCAGACGAGACCTAACGAGACTTGTCGAGACTCGGGAAAACTAGGCGAGACTTTTCGGGACTTGGAAAAACGTTTGGGGCTTGACGAGACTAACCGAGACTCGGCGAGTGTTAGGAAAGCCAGACGAGACCTGACGAGACTTCAGAAAGCTAGGCGAGGCTCGGTGAGACTCAGGAAAGCGTTTAAGGCTTAACGAGACTTACCGAGACTTACCGAGACTCGAGAAAGCTAGACAGAGACTAGACGAGATGCTGGTAAACTAGACGAAACTCAACAAGACTTCTAAACTTGACTAGTCATTTTGAGACTTAGGAAACCTGGACGAGACTCCACGAGACTTTCAGGAGCTTGGCGAGACTTGACGAGATTTACCGAAAATATGCAGGAAATCAGGCAAGACCTAACGAGACAAAGCAAAACTATACCGAGACTAACATCGTGTTCCTGTCTCATAGTCTCGTCAGGTCTCGGTCTAGTTTACCGGGTCTCGTTGGGTCTCGAGACGTGGCGAGACTTAACGAGACTAACATCAGCATTATCAAGTCTCGTTAGTTCTCGTTAGGTGTTGTCGGGTCTTGAGACTTGACGAGACATGTAGAGACTTGTGGACTCGACGAGACTCTCCAATACTGGAATCTCTATTTTCAGACGGAAAATACAGTCCACTCGTCCAGACGAACATCTACGCGCCACGTCAACGACTGATGATGGCGTACCTAAAAGGCGATTTCATGACAGTCTACTTCTACAACTACCACTCGAACATCCATCGCGACGCCGTCGACACGATGAAACGAATCGTGGGCTTCCACAATGCCAAGTCGCGTCTCCTCCGAGAAATCGGCCTTCACAAAATGGGCATCACACATTTGTCGCCATTCCACACGGAACCATTGAATGAATACGACTATGAGGTGCTGATTTGGACGGACCCGATGTCGCTGATCTCGAAAGAGTTCCCCAGTGAGCATAAGCCACCGCCGGCGTTCATGAAGGAGCCACAGTGCTCGAATATCTTTTTCAGGATGTATCGACAACCGGATTTACAGGTGAGCAATTTGAGCGAAAATGATGCGACACTTTAGAACTATGCCGACTTAGAACAGCTAAGAGTTCCATTTCGTCACGGTTCAAAAATGTCCTAGTTCTGAAACGTAGGCTGATAATGAGCAACTTTGTCTCTAAAAATCGGTTGAAAAGGAGCCATTTTAAGCTGAGCAATCTGAGCGATTTCGAGCCTAAGTTGCTTCAGAACGTTTATGACGTTTCAGAACTTTTTTGAACGTTTCAGAACTTTTTGAGACGTTTCAGAACTTTTTGAGACGTTTTAGAACTTTTGAGACGTTTTAGAACTTTTTGAGACGTTTTAGAACTTTTGAGACGTTTTATAACTTTTTGAGACGTTTTAGAACTTTTTGAGACGCTTTAGAGCTTTCTTGGACGTTTCAGAACTATTTGGGACGTTTCACAACTTTTTGAGACGTTTTAGAACTATGACGTTTTAGAACTACGACGTTTCAGAACTCTATGACTTTTCAGAATTATTTGTGACGTTTCAGAAGATTCGAGACGTTTTAGAACTGGTACATTTTAGAACTGCGTCGTTTTAGAACTCCGACATTTTGAAACTGCAACGTATTAGAACATCTAAATAGTTCTTTTTCCGGTACTAAAACGTCACGGTTCTAAAATGTCGTGGTTCTAAGTTGAAATTAGTTCTAAGAGGTCACAGTTCTGAAATGTCACAGTTTTAAAACGTCACAGAGCTAGAGAATATCAGACGTTCTAGAACCGGATGCTTTGAAACCGGACATTTTAGAACCAACTAGTTTGGGACTGTTTTAGAACTATGACACTCTAGAACCATGTCATTCTAGAACTGCGACATTTCAGAACTATTTTTCCAGACAACTATGGATCATTTCGCAACTCAGACATTTCGAAACCGGAAATTTCAAAACCGAGACATTTCGCAACTATCCATTCGCCTGTTTCATCACATTTGCGAAATGTCATAGTTGCGAAACGTCACAGTTGCGAAATGTCCCAGTTTCGAATCTTAAGTTTTTGGATTCTGAAAACGACCGAAAAAAGGCATTTTAGAACCGCTACGTTCTAGAACTTGAGATAGTTAAACTAGGACATTTTAGAACCATGTCATTCTAGAACCATGTCATTCTAGAACTGCGACGTTTCATAACTTTTTTTCCAGACAACCATGGGTCGTTCAAAAACGCTCTTCAAATCAGAATGTGTGAAAACGATGCACTACGAGCAGCTGCTCCGTTGGCGGGCCGGCCTAAAAACCAAACTGGACTTCATTCAAAAAGTCACTCGAGCCCATATGGAAATGCTCAAGAGAATTCCAGAAATCAACGAATGCGACCTGCTGATGTTCCTCCGTCCTCCGAAAGTTGCCAAAAAACTGGGACCCCCGCCGACGCATACATCGTCGACGTCTTCGGTCCGACACCGTCACTGTCTGGATGATGATCATCATACGGTATCAGAGGATAACTACTCGATAACCGAGAGGACATCGAAACGAGCGTCGATTCTCGGCGAATCGGTCAAGTCTCAAGCGATCGCCGAGTCGGAGATTTTCAAGGGAAAGGGAGAGTTTTTGAGAAAGACTGAGATTAAGGTGAGGACTTGAAATGGTCCAAAAATGACTGACATTTCGCAACTACGACATTTCGCAACTATCCATTCGCCTGTAATATGACAGTTGCGAAACGTCACAGTTGCGGAATGTCATAGTTGCGGATCTTAGGTTTTTGGATTTTTTAAACGACCGAAAAAATGGTTAAAAACGACAACTGTGACATTTCGCAACCAAGATGTTTCAAACCGAGAAATTTCAAAACCCAGACATTCAAGACTGAAAATGGCGAAAAATAAGCCTAAATTGACACAGAGACATTTCGCAACTTTTGACATTTCGCAACTGTGACATTTCACAACTATGTCATTTCGGCAATTGTGATATTTCGCAACCAAGACATTTCGCAACTCAGACATTTCAAAACCGAGACATTTCACGACTGCGACATTTTACAACTGCGACATTTCAAAACCGAGACATTTCACAACTGTGACATTTCACAACTAGGACTTTTCGCAACTATGAAATTTCGGCAACTATGACATTTCGCAGCTTTGAAATTTCGCAACTGAGATGTTTCGCAACCGAAATATTTCGCAACTATGACATTTCACGACTGAGACAATTCGCAACTGTGTCATTTCACAACTAGGACTTTTCGCAACTATGCCATTTCGCAACTATGACATTTCCCAACTATGACTTTTCGGCAATTTTGATATTTCGCAACCAAGACATTTCGCAACTCAGACATTTCAAAACCGAGACATTTCACGACTGCGACATTTCGCAACTGCGACATTTCAAAACCGAGACGTTTCGCAACTGTGACATTTTACAACTATGACATTTCGGCAATTGTGATCTGAAATGTCATAGTTGCGAAATGTCATAGTTGCGAAACGTCGCAGTTGCGAAACGTCTCAGATTTTTAATTTTCGCCAAAAATAATCCAAAGAAAAAACTGATTTCAACAATTTTGCAGCTCGGTTTGGCTGCGGAAAAATTCCACGAAATCCGCACACCATTCTTCCTCCGGTCGGATTGGAATCGAGATGCTCCGAGAAGAGCCGGTGAGCTATTCGATGAAGTCGTCCGCGAATCGGATATCCGAAGTCTTCTGGAAGAGCCACTGAAAGAGTTTTTGGAGATTTCACAAGTTCAAAAAGCCAAATCCACGAAATTGCTTATGAAAAAACGGAAATATTCGGAGAAGAGCGTCGATGTCATCGTTTCGAATGTCGTTGTGAAGGTAGGGGCAGTGTCATTTCGCAACCGCGACGTTCTAGAACCATCGGTCCTTAAATGACTGGTGCTAGAACGTCGCGGTTGCGAAATGTCCGGTTCCGGTTCTAGAAAGTCGGAACGTTCTAGAACCGCGACGTTTTAGAACCTCGACGATCTAGAACTATGACATTTCAGAACCACAATGGCGACGTTTTAGAACTATGACACTTTAGAACAGGTTGTTTCTAAACCTTGACGTGCTAGAACAGGCTGTTTCAAAACTAGCCATTTTTGGACTGCGCCGTTTTAGAATCGATCTTTCTAGAACCAGACGTTTTAGAACTGGTTCTAGAATGTCGTGGTTCTAAAATGACCGGTTCTAGAACGTCCCGGTTGCGAAATATCAGGTTCTAAAACGTCCCGGTTGCGAAATGTCCGGTTCTGAAACGGATCATTTAAGCCATTTCGCAACTCGTCCTTTTAGAACCGCGACGTTTCAGACCCGTAGTTCCAAAACGTCCTCTTTCAAAACGACTGGTTTTAGAATCTCTGAACTTTCTAGAAAGAGGTTTTTGGAACCGCGACGTTCTAGAAAGGGCTATTTCAGAACTGGCCATGTTAGAACTGCGACGTTTCAGAACCGGTTCTAGAATGTCGTGGTTCTCAAACGACTGGTTCTAAAATGTCCAGCTCTAGAACTTCCGGTTCTGGTTCTAGAACCTCTGAGCGTTTTAGAACAGTTCGTTTTAGAACTGTGACGTTTTAGAACCGCGGTTCCAAAACGTCGTGGTTCTATGACCGGTTCTAGAAGGTCCGGTTCTGATTCCAGATGCTCTAAGCGTTCTAGGACAGTTCGTTTTAAAGTAGCGACGTTTTAGAACCGCGACATTCTAGAACTGGTCATTTTCGAACAACGGTTCCGAAACGTCCGGTCCCGAAATGATGTGAACCGGAGCGTTTTAGAACTGGTTGTTTTAGAATCGCGACGTTTCAGAACTGATGATTTCATTTTAGAATTTTAGAATTTCTTGGTTTTCAGAACGAAAAACGACAAATCGGAGAAGAGGAAGACGAAGATGTCTACGATGACGACTGGTCTGAAGTGGATAGTGAATTGGAGGAGAATCCAGAAGAAACAATGGAAGCGACGACGTCTTCTAGAATGGATTCTGAATCCAGAAATCGAATTTCACGAGCTTCAGTCGGAGAGGAGGATTTCCAGAGAACGGTATGCGTTTTTTTTTCTTGGATCTGAGATGTTTCGCAACTTTCTGGGTTGCGAAATGTCATAGTTGCGAAACGTCGCAGTTGCGAATTGTCACAGA